AGGGGTACATGGGATTCTTAAGGATCGCAGATCCAATTCTGTCACCAAGCGCCATCTTCGTGTCTTCATGAATAGAATCATCCATGCGTGATGAATAGTTCAACTCAGGGTCTAGTAGTATCATCACAAGATCTGATAAGTAGCCTGCCTTCAAGGCTTGACCAAACCCATTATCAGACATTTCTTTCAGCTCAAAAAGAGCACCCAAATATGGGAAATCGTCAAGTCTGATACTGCCATCTACGTGATCAGTCATTCCATATTGACAAGTGCATATAGTGTATTACCATTATTAACACTATGAAATGACAAAGATTTTTGCGTTTCGAAGTTGCGGTCTGGCGTTTCCATAGTCTCGTTGACGAGACCTTACACCTCATAGAGGTACGTAAAGGGGTCCCCTCTGGTTTATCGCTAACTATAACTTGCTCTATACGAGAGCTGATGTCTTGATCAAAACCTAGTGATGTGTTTCTTAACTCGCACACTTCACTCAGTGAAATTATACGTGCCACTCAACGCACATCATGCAATCTCTGCTCGAGATGCCTCGGCTCAAAGCCATTCGTGATTGCAGTATATGAGTATCCACTATCACTCTGAGCATCAATCAACGGAACGGGTGACGCGTCACCAACCATCGATGAGTCTAGCCAGCGACTTACGTCATTGACATGTTTGGTGTCGATTAACCCTAACAAACCAATATTCATCACACTAGCCAATCCAGGTAGTGGCTTGCGCCAGTAACACTTTTGTTTCCTAGCCCACGTGGATTCATGAATCTTCAAAGCTCCGCTAGGAACCATGGAGACTTAGACCTCCTAATAAATCTATGGATCATGGCGTTCCAGCCAGGTCATTTCCAAATTAAGATCACATCTTGTGTCGAAGTTAAGGACTAAGCAGCGGTACACTGTTTTAAAGTCCAAGAACTTCACGCCTAGATTTATGTCAACATTTGGCGACGTGACAATCGTTCCTGTCGCCAGACGAATTGTGATAGTCCCACTATCTTGCGCTTCCAGCACCTCATGATACGTCTGGCTTCCTTTCAGTGAACGACGACGAGCATATTTGCTTGAGGCCCCGGAAAATCGATGAGATTCGTCCAAGGTTTAGCAAACCCGTTCATTGTTACAGGAAAGACAATCAATCTTGACTTGCAAACACGCTTTTTGTTATAAGGCACAGATCTCTGTGGGGCTAGTCCCTGTTTACCTCCCTGAGGTACTACAGACTCGGTCTATCCCCAGTAGGGCACCCCGCAACTACTGGGAGTTGACATTTTTCCGTGCCTTACCAGAGTTATGGCTATTGGCCGGGTTTCGACCCATGTGGGCCTGGCGTTGCTTGAGAAACTGGCATCCGGGACTGAAACGCTTAGTGCTTCCGCACGTATAGAATCGACAGATAACGCGTGGTATATCAGAGACCTGAAGCTCCGCTTCATCTTCACTGTCAGCCTCAACATGGCTAGGATCCATTCGTTTAGGTCTAGAAGACACTGAAGTGTTCATGGAGCTTGCTCTTATAGAGCTCGGGTTGTAACCATTTCCACCTAGCTTCTCAAGCTTAAATTTATAGTCCGCGTTATGCGCTATTTCAAACACCCCATATCAAGGTAGTAGGATGGACACGGAAGATTTCAGCTCTGGCAGGTCCAGGAAGAAGTCCTTCCGTAAACACTGTCACATGGACTACCTCTGGGATAGGATCGCTCTGCATAGCAGCAATGAGTGCATCCAACGCTTGGGCCTATTTCGACAGCTCATTTTTGCCCGGACGGGTAGAGAGGAAGTGTAATCGCACGCTATATACCTGTTCAGGCGGCACAAAATTGCGAATAAGCTAAGGCTTAAAACTTTTTCATGTGAGGAAGGCGTCATCATTAGACCCACTGCACGTAAGTGCCCACTCCCTCGCTCTACCAGCGAGCTTGTTGATCTCCACCGTGCCCCTTAGATAATAGGTTCGTATCGAACCCGACCTACGAGATATCGCTACATCGCGGATCCAGAGGATGAGATTCTACCCCTCCCCTTCACCGGAGTAGGGCTTAATGTCCAGCTCGATTGGATGATGCTTAGCCCCGTACTCTAACATTGACACAAAGCGTGTGGGCATAGACGACGCTATTTGGTCTTGGACCTGCCATATATGGGTCGTTTCATACTGCATGAAGGTCTATACACGTGCGTTTAACACATCGGCACGTTGCGCAGCTATGAACTTCCACATATTCACGCCCTACGGCCGCGGTCGACATATCAAGCGCAACCTTTTGGGCCTCAGTGGGGTGTGTGGATTGCCCCGTCCTCACAAAGGATTAGTATTGACATATTCAGGCGTAGACTGACTACAAGGGCTACCAAGTGTAGCGGAGCGTTAAAGACTTCCTTTAGCCAAAGGAAGACTTTAACGCTTAACGAGCACCTTTAGCTCAGAGAAATCGACTCAGAGAGTCAACAAGCCCAAAGAGGTTACGGTACTTGTTCCAGGGGACCAAACGATTTGAAGAATCACAGCATAGAGTTCTCAAGAGTAGCTACCTTGACAAGGCGTTTGATAGACTTTTATCCAAAGACGCCTTGGGAAGGAACGTGTCTTAAACAGATAAAAAGGGAAGTGAACTTTACTTGTTATATCTAAAAGAACACCTCAGACTAACGTACTTAATCTAGACACTAATGTTTGAATCAATACGTCTTACAAGACCTCGTGTTTTTGGTGGCTGATACACATCAGCCCTCAACAGTTGATGTGGTGTTCGAATATCAGTTTTAATGGGACTTCGTCCCTGGTGTATAACAAACATGTTGTGTAGCCCCGTTAATGACCGTACTTCTTCTACAACTACTGAGCGATACCCAACTATGAACACGTATGTAGACACGTTTCTCAACACTCATTGCGCGCGCCCATCGCTCATTAGTGGATTCCTCTGCTAATATCTTCGGCTACATCATCTAATGTGTATCGTGTCATTACCTACGAAGAATGATGTTGCCAAGTGTAACATCATTATAACGGATGACATTCAATAAGCTCGAATATGTTCAGTTTGGATAATGTCCACATGGACACTTCATCATCGCCAATACTGTAAGGCTCAGCCCGTTACATGTCATTGATACAATTTGAGGCCAAGTTAATATTATCGGAAAAGATGATATTTTCTAATACTCAGTGTTGCAAGTTATATTGTTTGAAATTAAACTCCAAAGATAACATCTCACGACGCTTCACTTAGTGGTTGACTCAGGCCGTGATATCAACCAAATAAACTTCCAATCGCTGCTAGACGTGCGCAATGAGTGTTGAACCAGATACACATCCAGAGTTTGTAGTTTAATGTAGTATACGTAAATTTTTTAGTTATATTAGAGAGAATTGATTGTAAGAAATGTATGGTTAGTTTCCCCTCATTCTAGGCATTTATTGCCCAGTTTGTCCCCCATCTGATGCACGTGCAGCGTACATGAGTCCTTGCGAGCACAAACATTTGCGCTATCATCTGTGTAAGTGGATTACCGGTTATCTGGAAACAGTGTGTCCTAAGACGCAAAAATAATATCACCCCGCTACAAATGAGCTCGATGTCGATGTCATATACTTGTGCACCATGGATGTATTACGAGAGAAAAGTCGGTCCACATATACGTTTGTCCGATCTTGAGCTGAATTATAGAGTAATGATGCAGTTTGATGAAGTATATACCTTTTTGCCACGCCTGCATTGTCACGCATATAGGGAAGAGCATCATCGAGCAATAAAATGACATGTGACGGAGCAGGTCGAGTGATCTATAATACTGTGTACCTCGTAGTGCATTACGTGTTTGATCCTTTATCGCTGAGATATCCGATCGATCGAAGGTCCTCATATCACCAGCCTCGAGCAAGGATGATGCTGCGATAGTTATAAATTTACCGGAAAGTGCGTTTGCGAGAGTTGTTTGAAAACCTCGCAGAACTGTAAAAACATAAGTATCCATCGACGACACAAGTCCGGCGAACGTATTAGTTGCTTACAAGAGCTTAGGTGATGACTCAAAGGGACGCTTCGAAAATTGTTTATGAAGTTGTATCATAGAGACACCCTAGTTATAAGCTATAGTTCGCGGAGCGAATCAACGGCTCTAATTCTTTAAATTGATGTCACGTCGCGACGGCTGTGCTTTTCTTGCTCAACTTTTTTGGCGGCAAAGTTGGTGATGAACATTTATAAGAGCTTCTTATTGTCGACCGAGTTAGGACCAAGTTTTATGAGCTAGACCCGAGTTTATTGAGCTAGAACTGTGTATCATGAAATTTACGGCAACAGCTAAATAAAAACAGAAGTTCAGCATGTCAACATTCGTGGCAATATGGTCACCTCGCAAATTGTTACTCGATCAGCGCACACAAAGTACCCCTCCAGGATAGAATCATCCCACAAGTCGTTTTTTGTCTAATACAATAAACAACGGTTGCGAAAATTGACGTGTGATATCATTACAGATCAGCTATTCCTCATATTAGTCCTTTGATACGAAACTAATAACAAAGAACGTAGCGCCTAATTTCATGTATGCTTTCGCACAGCAAACACACGTCAACGCCTCATTCGTGTGTCATGTGATCTGGAAACTTCATCGATCGTGGGTGATCAAAATAGAATACGTTCATTTTCCTGTATGTCACAAACGGCACTGCACACGAAGTGAATAAGTATGCAGAAAGCTGCATCGGCAGGATCGTTGGCTATTGATCGCAACCTATCGTTAACAGACAGCACATCGACATAAGCTATTGCATAGCTTCTTACGCCGTAATCGATTTGGATGACTTGTCGTAGATGGCCACGCTCTTAGACTTGGACATACAAGCGCACAACGTCGAATGAATGCATGTATAAACAAGCGTGAGTTAGAGACAGCTTTATTTGACATTCAGCATAAGATATCTGAGAACGAAGGACGCTACCCGGGACGTCACTGTATAGAAGACACGTCTCGATGGCAAAAGAGTTGGGAGAAAACGCTAAGCGGAACAAGACGGCAATGTTGAAGCGGAAGACGAAGGTTACGGAGAATCAGGATGACGAAAGGATAGGAGGCGCTCTTATGGGTGGAGACAACGTGGACCAGCCGTTCCTGGTGCGTGTGCTGGCGGTCGGCGTGACCTCATACCTAGCGCACCAGGTCTGGACCAAGAGGAGGATGCTGACGGACGCGTGGTACACGAAAGAGCAGACGGAGATGGAGCATCTCATGGTGACCCTCTTCGAGTACATGGTCTCTATGGGTCTCATCTTTTTGATTGGCATTGTTGTGGGCGTGGTCTGTCGCAAAGGAGTCATGTGGGCCAAACGCTTGACAAAGACAGGATAAGCGTCAGTAGGGAATTGGCCAGCGATCGATGCATAACGAACCGACTTTGAAGCAGAATAAGGGAATACATGATATGTGGCCGTGCATTTAGTATACGCACAAGAGGCAGATTGACCAGCAGTGTATACGTCATCTGACCCCACAAAAGCATATCGAGCACAAAAGCACATCGAGACCAAATTTTTTTTGAATCGCCTTCTGCCGACCCTTTTAGCCGTCGGCGCGATGGCTTCCGGTCGTCGTCGACGCGTCGGCCGCACGGTCCGTCGCCCCCGTCGTCGTAGCGCAACGACGAGGCCCGTGGCTGGTGCACGTCCGCTTCAGGCTATTGGCGAAAACACTGTCGTGGACCGCCTCGCGGACGACGCTTTGGACGTGAACGGCAGCAGCTCGCGGTTGGGTCCGTCGCCGTCTAATCGAGCGAGTCGAGCGCCGCCGCCGAAGAAGCCGAGCAAGAAGCGGGAGGGAGAAAAGGGAAAGGAGAAAAGGAAACGACTGGAAGAGTGGGCGGGTGCATGTGCGGAGAAGAAGCGCGCGCAGCAGCTCGAGATGCTGCTGGACGAGCTCGAGACGCAAGGTATACAATACATTTACAATCTGGTATACATGCAGCGCCACACGAACATTGACCCTTTTGTCTCTCTGTCTTCACTAGTGCAGGAGCACTGTGACGGGCTCGTGGCCGACGCTGAAAGACGTGCACAGGAGCTCGAGATGGAGGTGAAAATGCAGCTGCTCATCATGCCAGCGGCTGTGCGCCAGATGCCGTGGAAAACGTTTGTTGACGACTTCGGCGGAGACTTGCACAACGCCATTTACAGCTTGTCCCAGTCACAATTGTCGTCTTCGCCGCGTGTGACGTCCTCCAAGGCTCGAGACGACATAGTGGCCGCTACGCCATGCAGCAACGAGGACCCTGCAGAAAGACACGAGGATGGAGACGACGGCAGCGATGACGATTTGAGCAGTCGCCGTCTATCCATGTACACGACGCCCCTGGATCGACGCCGAGCACGGGCAATTCCAAGCACTGTGCTACGCACAGCACGCGATGGAGAAACCATTTACTCAGTAAGAGGCTCCCCGATCGTTCCCGACACGGTGGCTAAAGCGCCTGCAGGATCGTTAGTGGCTACGTTTGAGAAAGGCCTCGAGCCGACAACGTGCTTGCGCCTTGACAGCGAGCGTGTTGTTGACTTGTCTCGGCCAGAGGAACTCTCAGCCGAGTCGCGCGGTGAAGCCACGTTCAAGCTGCAGGCGCTTCAGGCCAAAGTTGCACAGCTGTTACGGCAGATCAATCCTTGTGCTTCTTAAAGCGGCGTCGATGCTGCTAGGCATACCACACATATACTATACGCGCTCGGGTGGTTGGGCACGCCCTCGCCTAGTGCAAATTCAACACCTCGCTGCTCGTTGTAGTGGTTATCCTCTTCAACAACAAGAGCAGCCGAAATGGATCGTTTCACTGGCCTTGCACGTGAAATTACAGCACCAGCTTCACGCGAGTTTCCAGTCCAGTGTGTTTGCCACGAACCCAAACACACGCAGTGTCTCGAGTACACGAAGTAGCGAACTGCACAGCTTCCGTAAATGCTGTAGGTCTTTCAGTACCGCGTACATCTCCTGCATTGGCGGCGTCATTTTCAGCTTTGCTTTTTGTGCTTATCGTTGTCATCCCACGACGGATTGTGGTTGACGTGTTGACCACCAGCTTCACGTTCACGTACGACTTTCTTGATCGGTCGGACGGCAATGATGGCAACATCAGACGCTGCCGACAGTAGACGTTTGTGATCCAGCTGTACTTCCACCCCGAATTCGACCGGATTCGACTTGACAATTAGATATACTGCGTCACTGCTCGGTGAATCCGACAACGCACGCAAGCCCTCGATCTCTTCAAGACAAACCCCTCCATGCAAGCGATGACAATCTTCCTCATGAAGCCGAACGCTTCTGTCGGTGCTGCCGAAAAGCTTTCAAGCCAAACACAGTTAGATGGTCAGCCTATCACGAAAATCAGAGCGTCTTCTTCGCGAACACCGACATCTAACGGCTTGGACAAGCTGAAAATAGGGATGCGTGTCGGCACACTTACGTCGCGCGTTCCACTGCACAAGTATCGCGGGGTGGGCGAGTGGCTGTGCATGCATCCTTCATTCATTCCTTGTGCTGCCCTGATGCAGGGCCTTACCAATCCGGCTACGGCCCCCGCGGAGGAGGTTTTTGTTGCTGTTGATGCAGCTGCTGTTGATGCAGCTGCTGCTGAAGAAGATGGTCGCTGGGTGACACTGCAGAGCGTTGCTGCTGTTGCTGCTGCTGCATCAGCTGCAGGTGATGGTGGAGTGCCTGGTGCTGCTGCATCTGCTGCTGGTGGAGCTGCTGGGCTTGGTGCTGCTGCTGATACTCATGTTGCTGTTGGTGCATTTGCTGATGGTGGTGTGCTTGCAGCTGGTACTGCTGAAGTTGCTGATACTGCTGCTGTTGGTGAGCTTGTTGAGCCTGTTGCTGAGCCTGTTGTTGCTGGGCTTGCTGCTGCTGAACTTGCTGTTGCTGAACTTGCTGTTGCTGAGCTTGATGCTGCTGAACTTGCTGCTGCTGGGCTTGCTGTTGCTGGGCTTGTTGCTGTTGAGCTTGTTGCTGCTGTTGCATCGCACTGTTGTATCGAGCCATGTTGGCAGCCATATCCAGAGCTTGCTGCCGTGCTTGCTGTGCTTCCTGTAGGGCACGAGCAGCGACAGCGGCAGCCGCAGCCGCACGAGCAGCTTCTTCTTCTGCACGTTGAGCTCGCCGCAGTAACTCGGCTTCTTCAAAGCGCATCTGAGGTGCGTAGCCCCATATCTGCTGTTGAGCACGCGAATCTCCTTGTGGCGGCGTGTTTGACACGACTGACGAGGTCGAAGATGTACGTGACAGCACAGACATCTGAGCTGATGGTTTGTTCGTCTGACTTGAACCAACCTTCTCGTTGGGACTCGAACGCACCATCGTGGATGACATACCTGACGACGCAGACATCCCACTCACCATCGTTGCCACCCCTGCACCCTCTACATTGCTCGCACTAGTGTCGTAGTATCGAATCGACTGCGTTTGGCGATGCAATTGCTTCTGTTGCATCAAGGATGACTGGTGACCGGCAGTTGGCGTCCTGCGCTCCGGCGACGGAATATTCAGAAGGCTAGACATCAAGCCCATCCGATTGTGCGAGGTCGGTACGGAAGATCTTCGTGGCAGCAGGTGCGCGGTCGGACTCGAAACAGGGATCGGGGACTGGGCCAACTCAGCAGAAGACGGCGGACTCGCCCGCGCATGCTCAAGATGAAGTGGTGGCTGCTGTCGATGTTGCATCTGTTGCTGTTGTAGTCGATGTTGCTGGTCCCGCTGCTGTTGTTGTTCACGCTGGAGCTGCTGGCCTAGCTGCTGTTGTTCATGCTCTTGGCGGCGTTGTTGTTCCGACATGCGAGGAGATTCCTGTTGGCGAACCACCATCGAACCGTTTCCTCGAAGAACAGCGTCGTCCCGCGGCGACTCTGACTCATTTAGAATGGATGAAAACGACATTCGACTACGAACCGGCTGCACAGGAGGTGGTCCTGTCGGTACAAGTATCCTACGGCCCGTTGGTGCACTATCCCGTGCCGTAGATGAAGCATGAGTGGCTGGAGTCTCATGTGGGCTTAGGCTTGCATTAGCTGCAGCATTTGTTGGGCTTCCCACCGGACCAGCGTGCCACACAGGTTGTCGCGCCTCAACTTCTTGCGGTCTATTGCTTTCCACCGCAGATGAGTGAGAAGCAGCCGTCAGTTGGCGCGGGTTATCAGTGGCGGTGCCTTGAAGCATCGCACTATCACCAATTGCCCCTTTCATCATGGCAATATTCAACATTGATCGTTGTGAGGCGTCGTGGCCTCCCATCATGCCTAGAGAGCTTCCAGCATTGGCCCTAGCCGATCCACCTCCTTCACCCATCACCGTTTCTGTACTAGAATCCATCGGCCTGTCGTACTGCTGGGCACTTGCTGGGGACATACTCATTTGCGCCCCGACTACTACGGCTTGGGGATGCTGAGCTTGCATATGCCCCATGGGCTGGTACAATCCACTTGGAAGTGCCGTTTCAGCAAAGGCGCCTCGTATTTGCTGCTGCTGCTGTTGGTGCTGCTGCTGCATCGGAATGTGCAGCTCTTGGTTGTGCGCCGGGCTTTGCGAGTAACTCTGCAGACTCATCTGCTGCAGAGCTTGCATCGACAAATGGTGGGGGTGCACTTGACGCTGTTGCTGACACGAAAACTGGTACAGTCGCTGTACGTTTGCTGCTTGCACCTGGCTTTCATGATACGCATTGCTGCTATCCACTCCCGTGCCGTCCGACGTCATCCCTTGTGAATTTTGCTGCTGTTGAAACTGCATGAGCTGCAGTTGATGTTGCATATTGAGTAGTTTCAAATAACGCCCTGAATTGGATGCCGAGTTTACCATTTCGCGAGAATGATGTTGCTGCTGCTGCATGTGGTGAGCCTGCATGCCAAAACTGCTGACCGACTGTTCTGGCAACACGTTCGCGCCGTGTGACCCTGGTTGAGCTGCACTCAAAGCGGCCTGGAACGAAATGTTCGCATCACCGGCACTTGTTGCCATTGACCCACTAGGCATTCCCATAGATAGCCCTCCGGACTGATCAATTGAGCGGCCTCCTTGTCGCAACGTTCCGCTCATCAAGCTAGCAGCAGCGGACCGAGGAGACGCGGTGACGTTTTCACTCACCACGGCTGAAGTAGGCGTCATCGAATGTAGTACACCCTTGCCACCTCCACCTCCACTGGCTGCCGCAATTTCTATCCGACGTTTCAGTATATCCTGAAGATTCAGTCGATTCTTGTAGTTTTGGTAATAATTTTTAATTTGAGCAGCGGTCTTTGAAGGGATGTTCTCCGTAAGTGTTGCCCAATCTTTCCCAAATTGCTTTTTACGAAGCACAACAATAGTCAGTACTGCGGGCTATGAATACAAAGAAAAGAAGCAACGCAAAGGCATACGCACCGAGAAATACTTCAGAAAATCTGCCTTCTCTCCTTCAGTCCACTTCTGCACCACGCGCTTTGCAGGGGCACCAGCATTGATGCTACTACCACCAAGCACAGCACTTGCTGACGGGGACGAAGCTTTTGTGTTTGCGTGAGGTGTAGCAATACCATCAGAACCATTTTTTGCTGCTCCTTCAAACGGGGCTGAGTCTGATGTTGTTGATATCTCTCCGTCCACTGACACAATGTTCGCTTTCGGAGACACATTCGCAGCACTTATCTGATGATTGCTCCGACGTGCACCGGAAGTAATACTAGCGTTCCGACCCAATTTCTTGCCGCTGTGTAAAACCTTTTCTTCTTCAGGGATTATTATAGAAGGCGCACTGTGATCGGCCATCGAAGCATCCAGGCCTGGAACAGGATTCGCAGCATTTTTCTTTCTGCTGTGACTCACCGCTTTTTCACCACCCCCATTTCCAGCTATTCGTGGAGAAGCTAGTGGTGCTATTGCAGTCGTCAATGTGTGAACTCCTTCCTGCGTCTTTTTCACTTTCCGCTGCTGCTTTGGTTCTTTCTTTGTCATAGATGTGCCTCCGTTTTTCGGATTAACATTTAAGCACGATGTCAGACTTCTCTCTTTGCCCTTCGTAATTTCTTGGGACGCGCATGTACCACCGATCATCACCGTGCTGATCGCAGACTCAAGTTCCTTACTCGGCGTCGGGTGTTTCTGTAGCCGTTCCTCGATAGACAAAGCCGAGACTTCATATCCCGTGCAGTACGAATTATCAGTGAGCAATGACGTATAATCGACCAGGAACGGCCGTTGTTGCCCTGCAACAAACTGTTGCAGCTGCTGGGTGTACAAATTCAATGATGTGTCGCTCAGGGAATCTGAATCCCCCAAATCAGTAATATCGTTCAGCTCGACTCCTGCTTCTGATGCGCTGACAAACGGTGTATGATTTGACCCTGATACCAAATCCAGCACAGACAAACCTTCAGTACCTATAACACCATTGCTCACGCTCACGACGCTGGGATCCGAAGTCGTTTTGCTACTTCTCCCGGTCTTTACTGTTGAGCTACGCAAAAGACGCTGGGCACCCGCCGAATTAAGGATATTGTCAGAAGCCTGGTGAGAGCGAAAGTTTGAGGGGTGCAGCAACAACTTGGCGATATGTCCTGGAAACTGAACGCCGAGGCAAATTGCGGCACATGCTGATAGATTCCAGCAGCTCCAAGTGTTTTTTGACCCTGCTCCGCGACGCCGCAATTGCTGCTCCCGCAGCAGTGCCTTGTAGTCGGCTACTTTCTTTGTTCGGTAGTAAAATGCTATCACGTCTCCAGTAGTCTTGTTGCTCAAAAAGGATGAAATCCGAGGAAAGTTTTTCGGGAATTGCAGAAACTTGTCCATGTAGATACACTTCTCCAAGTCGTTCCACGGGTTTACTTTCATCTCTGCTTTTTCCTTCAGTTTCCAGTCCGTTACAAGCCCGTCAGCCATACAGCTTTGGCCATTGACGAAGCGCATAAAGTGGCGTTGTTGCCGATCTTCTAAGGTAAGCAGCATGTCTGGAATTACAGTCGACAACGCATTTTTCAGTCTCTTCTTTCGAACTTCTTGATCAACAGCAGCTTGCGCCTTTGCCTGCTCAATTTTTTCCAAATCGCTGTTCTCCAAGTCAGCGCAAGAATTGTTCGTTAGTCGAGACGAAGTTCGCACTATTGTACCTTCACCAGCGGCTTCAGCTGCCTTTTCAGCTGCAACTAACTGCTGAACATGAGGACTTTGGTGGATGGTGTTAGTTGTTCGAATAGGTCCGCTTTCACTCATGCTCTTGACTTTCTGCTTTTGGAGCTGTTTCATGCGTAGCTTATCCTGGCGCTTTCGATCTTTCTCCATTTTCTTTACTTCCAGTTTCCACGATTTCTTCAGCTCCATGTACTCCCGCGCTAGTTTCTTCATGCATTCGTGGCGGGCACGATTCCGCATTTGAACCTTCAAATGCACTTGGTTGGAAATGGACATCCCGCGGTCGATATTCTCCTGATAAAACGGATAATCACGAGGTTGATGATATATCTTCGTCGCCAATTGACCCTGCTCAATCCGTTTTGGTATTGCTTCGTTTGCAGCAGCCGTTTTACGTAGGTTTTCAGAATACAAGTCAGCGAGCAGCTCGACAATCTTCGAATCGACTGCTATTTTCACAGGCGACGACAAATAAGGCGGGCTGGGCACAGCGTCCATAGGCGCACGTAATAAACCATCTCTGGTAACATCCGTCGTCGCGCTACTCACACTTGCAGCGCCAACAACACAAGCAGGCTTACCAGCTGAAACAATTTCGGTACTGGCTGCCTCACACGACGACTTCTGTCTGGCCTCTGCGTTCGCTATCTTTTGTTGCAACGCCTCGATCTGCTTCTTCACACTTGCAATATCGGAGTCCAAAACGTCTATAGTAGAAAGGACTTCTTCTTTTGACGGCTTTGCATACACCATATCATCTTTTGCGATATCACTAGACCACGCCGTCGCATCACCAATTTTCTCTGCTTTCGTTGCCACAGGTGTAGTGACTTCGTTGACAGCAAGTGGCTTTAACTGTGTATCCATTTCATGTGCAGGAACTGTAAGCTCTTTGACGCAAACTTTGTCGTTCTGATTAGTACGGCCTCCGAAGCCCTGCTCACATGTTTCACGTTCAGGTTTGACTGCTTGGCACTCGGAATTTGAAGACACAACAGCAGTTTTCGTATCGTCTACGTCCTCATCGCGAACGAATTCGCCGCCTCTATCCTCGAGCGCCGCCGCAGCATTTTGCAGCTCATCGTTTTGCTGTACCAAACCCTGACCCCAACCAATACGCGGCCGCTTTGCAAGAGGAGGTGGCGACGGCGCGACAAGCCCTTGGCCCCAGCCCAAACGGGGGCGGTGCCGTTTCGTTAACGTTTCTGCTCCCGCGACGCGCTGTAAAGAGACCCCGCGATTTTCGCCACAAGGAAGAGGAATTTCGGGGAGTGACGGCAACTCTTCCTGCGCATCTAAATTCAAGTGGCCTTCGATAGAAATCCGACTAGCCCCCACTGATCGCTCGCTTGTAGAAACTGATCGTACTGAGTCGTTACCCACTGCGCTGTCCATTGCCTCCGCCACGTTGGCGTTCTTCAGGTCGGTGTGCCGGCCTTGACCTTGTTGCTCCCTGTCGGTTGCCGTAACATGATAAGGTTTCGAAGAAGATGACTGACACAACAAGGATGAACAAGTTCTAGACCCCTCAAGTTGTTCTGACACTTGCCAAACATCTGACGACTCATGATCCCTGCCTTCCGTTTGCACTTCGGAAGGGACCGGACGATCGAGTGCAGGGCGCTCGCAATGCGCCGCGGGATACTTGTCAATCAAACACGGCGATGCATTTCTTTGCTTTGTATGCACTTCCCGGTTATCTTCGCGCACCGCCTCCCACGTAAAAGCCGAATCAGCATCGTGAAGGTTTTTGCCCTCGTCACTCTCGTTTTCCTCGCACCGACGGATGATTGGCAAGCCAAGAGATGAGAACGACGTCAACCGAGGTTTATCGTAGCCCAGGAACGTAGTTGACCAAGGGCCGGTTTTGCTGCGTTCCATTTTAGCCCGTTTCTCTTGCCCACCTCCCCTACCACGCAAGCCATGAATGCTAACGTTGTCCACAGCACAATCTCCTCTCTGGCTTTCCTTCGAAAAATTGCTGTGTAAGGCGACCGTCTTGCCAACACTACTGTTGGAAAGACTGTCATGAGCGACCGCAACGTCCCGTTTTGCGGGGTCGGTAGTGCTCAAAGATGCCATCATCTCGCCTTCGTCAGCCTTGTCGCTTTCAGCTTGCACACCGCGAGCGTATGTTATAGCCTTCGGTGCGGAGCCAACTATTGGATCATCTGTGTGTATCTCTTGTTTCTCAGCGGCTGCGCTAGAGGCTGCCCTCACACCTGCACCCAGCTCGTGGTAAACCTCCGCACTTCCCAGCTTTACATTGACTGCGATACCTCCCTCGTTCCCCGAGCTGGGGTAAATTGCATCACAGTCTTTGCTAGGCCTGTCTAATCGAGTGTCTCTCGTAGCTATTAGATCTCGGTCACCAGTACAATGAACGTGAAGTGGCTCCTGCCTTGGTGTCTCTTTCATATCAAGTTCCGTATTCTCATCATGAAGAGACGTGGGATACGCTGGGGTCAAATCTACCATCGCACTGTCGACATCACGTTTGAGATCAGAAGAGGACGTTTGCTCATCACGAAAGAACGATATCTCTTTGCGACTGCGTGCTCCACCTTCAATCGAGACAGACTCTTCTGACGACTTCACGTGGGCTTTCTGTCGTGACTTTGTATCGTCCAGAACCTCCATCATATCACCCCGTCTTGCATCCGCTAGAAGCGCCACCCTTTTATCTTCCTTCGCTTCTATGGTCGTGCTCGGTGACTTGTCGTGTCCTTGAACCTGCTCCAAATCAAACTCTGTATACTCGGTGCATGTAGCACGTCGGACTTTTACAAAAGAAGCATGCGTTCGATCCATCGATGCCGCTCGCATTTGATCCCCCTTCACGCCATTTGTACTCATTCGGCACATCACTTGGGACATTCCAGTCGCACTTTTCCTTCCATGTTTACCCACGGACTCATCACGTCCAATAGCAAATCCGGCTTGGCGTAAATCGAACTTTCCAAACCTCGCGCTTTCCAACGGTCTTCTGTGTGCAATTTCCACCCTGTCGCCCGAAGGAGAGCTATACTCGTCGTCACTGTCTACAACCATCCGTGAGTTCGGGTCCTTTCGAAAACTGTCAGCAAGCGGACGTGGTGGCAGCGCAGACGTGCTCGAGACGGACGCTCGCCTTGAACAACTCTTCGTAGCTCCTGACATTCCGCGATCGCTACAGCCTGGTTCGCTCTGCGCGTGCGAGTCTACAGACCATTCGCGAGCAGTGCTGAGACATGCCTCTGCCTTCTCTTCGTCGTCTCTTACAGGTGTTGACTGTCCCCTGTGGGCGTCAGATGAAAAGCCCGACGTCCGCACGAGTGACGTCGATCTGCTGCTCATATCGTAACCTCTTCGATGTCCTGTCTCATACTCCCGTTGGTCTCGATCTTGCATCTGTCGGCTTCGAATGTGATCGGCTTGAAAGGCACTGCCATCATCACTGTCCCTGTCCCAGCTCCCTGATCTACCACCACCATGTGGCACTGACATCGCCGTTTTGTACCGCACCTCTTTCGGAAAAAAGCGATTGCCCCGTTGAAAAGTGGCGTACCATCTCCCACCTCGTCCTCGTCCTCTCAGCCACGACTCCCGCTCCCGCTCGCGTTCACGCTGCCGGTTTTCAAAAAAGCTGCTGCGTCCCCTCCCTCGTCCAAACACGTATTGTCCAGCTCCTGCGCTGCGTCCGCCTCGTCCCCACCGAGCAAACGTGCGGCAACTCGGGGGCGAGAACGACCTCGACCGCGAGCGCGATCGCGAGCGCGGCGGAGACCTGGGCGACCGCGGAGAGCCCGAGCGAGACGGCGAGCGCGTGTGTTGCTGCTGCTGAGACGCTCTGGACGGCGAGCGGGAGGCTGTGCGCCCTCGAGCGCGCGACACGAATCGCTCGCTCGGGTGCAACGCGGCTCCTTCGTAGCTCATGTGTCGGCGTCTAAAGAAGCTGCTGCGTCCTCCAATAGGTCCGCTATAGGGGCGCGGGATGCGACGGCGAGGCGGTGAGCCACTGCGCCAGTGCTGAGGTCTGCTGCTGTAGGGAGGAGACCCGCGTGGCTCGAGCGGCCCGTGGTCTGGAGAGCCGCGACTGGCGCTGGACGACGACGGCGACTTGGGCGCGTAAGGACGTCGACGATGCGGCGCGGTCTCGCCCGGCTCGGGCGACGAGACTCGAGGCGAGTCGTCGGCCATGTCGCTCTTGCCGTCAGTCTCAAGCCGCTCGTGCGGGTCTCTCGAGTGTGACGACGACGACGACGACGACCGGCACTCTTCTTTTCCCTTTAGATGCGCGACCGAGTCAGTCGTAGCACGTCGACGCAATTGTAGTAGTAGTAGTAGTAGTGGTGGTAGCGTAGTAGTACTCCTCCTTCGACATAGTATTCGTCCTACAACAACTACTACTATTACCAGTACTACAACGTCTACAACGCGGGGCGTGTGTTGTATGCCAGACGATAGGATTGCCCCACCACGCGGCGGCCTGTCGCAGCATCACTCTAATTTTAGCACCAGCGATGGAGCGCGCGCTGGGCGACCCGGCGCTCGTGCTCTGCAGCGGCTGTCTGGCCAGCGACGCGCACGAGGAGCGCTGGCTGCCGCTGCGCTGCCACGCGGACGAGACGCTGCTCGTGCGAGATGTGTGCGTGCACCCGCACTGTCCGCAGCTGCAGGTGCGTGGCCACCTGTGCGTGGCGCACCTCGTGGAGAAAGAGCTCTTGGGGCAGAGCAAACACCTTAACGTGCGGACGTGTGCCGGCTGCCGTGTGAGTACGCTGCAGCTCTACCGCCGCAGACGCGACGTCTGGTTTATCCTCGAGGACAGTGAGCACGCGGTGGGAGCGCGTGGCGTCGAGCGCCGTGTCCAGATGCCGACCTCGAGCGCTCTGGACGCGTCCGTCGTGCGCACACGAGGAGCCGACCGGCGAAGAAGGGACCGTCAGAACATGAAGCCGCCGATACGACGCAAGACCAGTCGACTCGCCAAGCAGAAGGGACAGAAAGAGCAGATGTTTGTGCACGACACACGACGTCTTTGGCGAGACAATCAGAAGCGCAGCGAGACGGAAAGCCACTCGACGGCTTTGTCTGGTGCTTCTGCCGCAGAACCAGCGACGGACGATCGAGAGGTTGACGGAAACGCTCGACCGGCACCACAGGAGGTTTTCTGCGTCATTGCGGGGTGCACGCGCTATGCCAAGACTGGCAAGTGTTGCCGCTTCCACGCGCTTGATCCGCTGGTGTGTACTCGCCCACGTGTAGACGCCGAAGCAAACGGGTCAACTGCTGTCCTGGCGAAGTGATGGTCCGTTGTCATTGACAAGCTGGATATAATGCTCGCGCGTTAATGGAACGGTATGGTACTTAACTTATGACTCGAAACCGAGAGAAGCAACAAGACGAACGAGAGAGTAGTGTGAACAAACGAAAACGTGGCGAGCACATTGCAGCTAGGCGGCGACATGATGACTGACTAGTTTATCATGGAAGAGCGAATTAGTCGTGATTTCTAGCCCATTGTCCATGTCTGCTATGCTTGTGAGTACAATTGGAACGGAGCCTACACCTCTGCGTCATATGTAACACATCTAATCAGCTTGCGCATTCAATTAAAACTTAGCGTTCATTCTAGCTGCTATGTCGGTTGCAAGGTTTGTACGTGCTTCACTACATACCGACTCTCGCAGACCGCTAGAACCTCTGTAAATCTCATCTAACTGCTGGAAATCATCACCGATTTATTCATTTTTTTACATGTGGTTCGCGATCCTGTATCGAAAACGTCTCGACAATGTGCACTCGTGCTCGGTCGATGCAAATAAACAGTGTGCTGCTGCTGCTGCGTCCGATGCGTCTCACGTGCCCAGCACGATCAAGAGACCAGCGAGCACATCTGCTTCGTATGGTTGAGCTCGTCAACGACGACGCTGGACGTCGCGACGAGTCAAACGTCTACCGCCCATCGCATTGCTACCTCCCAGTGCCGCACTTCCGAAGCCAGTAGGCGGACTACGAGAAAAACCGTTGTTGCCACCCTGCCCGAAGCTCGCCATCGCACCTTGTGCGGCAGTCCCGCCAAACGCGCTCCCGATTTGCGGACCAATACCCACTTGCTGCTGCCCGAAGCCATTTCGTGGACCAAAGCCCGCCCGCTGTCCGAAGTTGTTACCCACGCCATTTCTGTTGAAGCCGCCAGCTCCACCGAACATGCCGCCACCGAAACCAGCCATCCGATTGCTACCGCCAAAGCCGAAGCCGCGATTGTCCGTTGGATTCTCGCCAAGACTGCCACCGCTTGCAGGCAGCCCGCGAGAAGTACCCAGTGCATTGGGGCCAGCTCCAAACGCGTTGTTTGCTCTTCCAGCCGTTGGCCGAGACGACAAGTCCCCGATCACACCTGCGTCACGAGACGGAGTAGCGTCACCTGGTTGTTGTTGTCGTCCAGATGGAAGACCCGCACTGGCAGATCTCGTCGGTGCCGGCGTGGGTCTCGATGGACGGGTCACCGTTGCCGCAGCGGTTGCGGCTGGACGTCCATTTGCAGTCGTTGGGGCTGGCGTGACAGGCTCCGTTCCCGATGCCGCGGCAGTGCTTGAGATCCCCGACCCAACGGCGCCAGAAGCAGTAGCACCTGCAGCGACGTTGGTGGAGGAGTCAACGATAGTAGCAGTATCGGAGCTCGCCACCACCGTGGACGGCACGCTGATAGGAACGGGAATGAATCGCGGCACTCCCACAGGCACAGGGATGGCGATTTTCTTGACTTTCTTGACGTGGTGGTGATGGTGGTGGTGGCGGCGGCGCTCTTTCTTGCTCTCGTCGGTAGTTTCGTGCACGGTCGGTGTGTCACTCTCGACACGCAGTCCACGAAGCGCAGGCGCGTTCGGTACTTCCTCCGAACCAACAACGCACAGGCTCAGCGCTACGAAGGTCGCGAAAGCGGCAGCAGATTTCATGCGAGAAGCGGTGTCGATCGGGACGCTCGTGGTGCAAAGTGGCTCGCTGCTTGCGAATTGGTGAATGGCTTCGACGGCTTGCACCATTGTGCGTCGGCGACGACTTTGCACTGGCACTTGTCCATCACGACACTTCAGTCCGACAAGTGTTGAAGATGCCCGAAGCAGCGGTTCGTGGAGAGTGACAGCTTTTCGACATGATAGAGAAGCGCTGAAACGCGTGATACCATCACGTGACGTGTTTGATCGCTTCACGTGATGTGTTTGGTCGCTTCACGTGATGTGTTCGATCGCTTCACGTGATGTGTTTGATCGCTCCACGTGATGTCTTTGATCGCTTCTGACGTGTCGTGACGGACTGGTGCGACGGCTGCATGCATGGTCTATGTTCGTTTGTAGAAGTCGGGCTTACACTGCGTCGACTGCGTCCCTTATCGTTCGGGTTGCATCTTCAGCCGATTCGGCGAGCGATGCCGTCGACCGATGCGATGGTTCAGCGACAAATATGAAAGACCGTGTTGACGTTTACTGATGCGTAAGCATTGCTGTCGTTTCCTGCTTCGTAAGCCGTCAACGTTTACTGCTTCGTGAGAGTCGTCAACGTTTACTGCTGTAGCCGTGGTGTTTTACTACGGCTACATGAACCAGAGTATGCATCACACCAGTCTTATACGCTGCACTAGGTTGTGCGACGTCAGACCTTTTTCACGATGCGCTTGCATGCGCGTGCTAGCCGCGTTGAGCTCCATCAAATACGAAATCGAATACGGAATCGAATACGAAATCGGACACGGATACTGCGTTTGACTTCTCAAGCACATGCACCGCCGTCCCTAAGGTCGGACTTTTCGCTTACTAACAAGGCGACACGGATGCCGTTGCAATCGTCTTATGTACTGTGGCACCGTTGCGACTTGCAACTCGTTCGGGTCCGAAATGTACACCAGCTGGAAGTGCTGCATACCGCCAGTGAGTGCTCAACTTCTTCGTCACTTCTTTGTTGTTTTCTACCATTCCTTCCTTCCTTCATTCATTCAATCCTTCCTTCCTTCAATCCTTCCTTCATTCATTGTTTCATTCATTTATACATGTGGTTCGCGATCCTGTATCGAAAACGTCTCGACAATGTGCACTCGTGCTCGGTCGATGCACATAAACAGTGTGCTGCTGCTGCTGCTGCGTCCGATGCGTCTCACGTGCTCAGCACGATCAAGAGACCAGCGAGCACATCTGCTTCGTATGGCTGAGCTCGTCAACGACGACGCTGGACGTCGCGACGAGTCAAACGTCTACCGCCCATCGCATTGCTACCTCCCAGTGCCGCACTTCCGAAGCCAGTAGGCGGACTACGAGAAAAACCGTTGTTGCCACCCTGCCCGAAGCTCGCCATCGCACCTTGTGCGGCAGTCCCGCCAAACGCGCTCCCGATTTGCGGACCAATACCCACTTGCTGCTGCCCGAAGCCATTTCGTGGACCAAAGCCCGCCCGCTGTCCGAAGTTGTTACCCACGCCATTTCCGTTGAAGCCGCCAGCTCCACCGAACATGCCGCCACCGAAACTAGCCATCCGATTGCTACCGCCAAAGCCGAAGCCGCGATTGTCCGTTGGATTCTCGCCAAGACTACCACCGCTTGCAGGCAGCCCGCGAGAAGTACCCAGTGCATTGGGACCAGCTCCAAACGCGTTGTTTGCTCTTCCAGCCGTTGGCCGAGACGACAAGTCCCCGATCACACCTGCGTCACGAGACGGAGTAGCGTCACCTGGTTGTTGTTGTCGTCCAGATGGAAGACCCGCACTGGCAGATCTCGTCGGTGCCGGCGTGGGTCTCGATGGACGGGTCACCGTTGCCGCAGCGGTTGCGGCTGGACGTCCATTTGCAGTCGTTGGGGCTGGCGTGACAGGCTCCGTTCCCGATGCCGCGGCAGTGCTTGAGATCCTCGACCCAACGGCGCCAGAAGCAGTAGCACCTGCAGCAACGTTGGTGGAGGAGTCAACGATAGTAGCAGTATCGGAGCTCGCCACCACCGTGGACGGCACGCTGATAGGAACGGGAATGAATCGCGGCACTCCCACAGGCACAGGGATGGCGATTTTCTTGACTTTCTTGACGTGGTGGTGATGGTGGTGGTGGCGGCGGCGCTCTTTCTTGCTCTCGTCGGTAGTTTCGTGCACGGTCGGTGTGTCACTCTCGACACGCAGTCCACGAAGCGCAGGCGCGTTCGGTACTTCCTCCGAACCAACAACGCACAGGCTCAGCGCTACGAAGGTCGCGAAAGCGGCAGCAGATTTCATGCGAGAAGCGGTGTCGATCGGGACGCTCGTGGTGCAAAGTGGCTCGCTGCTTGCGAATTGGAGAATAGCTTCGGAGGTTTGCACCATTGTGCGTCGGCGGCGACTTTGCACTGGCACTTGTCCATCACGACACTTCAGTCCGACAAGTGTTGAAGATGCCCGAAGCAGTGGTTCGTGGAGAGTGACAGCTTTTCGACATGATAGAGAAGCGCTGAAACGCGTGATACCATCACGTGACGTGTTTGATCGCTTCACGTGACGTGTTTGATCGCTTCACGTGATGTGTTTGATCGCTTCACGTGATGTGTTTGATCGCTTCACGTGATGTGTTTGATCGCTCCACGTGATGTCTTTGATCGCTTCTGACGTGTCGTGACGGACTGGTGCGACGGCTGCATGCATGGTCTGTGTTCGTTTGTAGAAGTCGGGCTTACACTGCGTTGACTGCGTCCCTTATCGTTCGGGTTGCATCTTCAGCCGATCCGGCGAGCGATGCCGTCGACCGATGCGATGGTTCAGCGACAAATATGAAAGACCGTGTTGACGTTTACTGATGCGTAAGCATTGCTGTCGTTTCCTGCTTCGTAAGTCGTCAACGTTTACTGCTTCGTGAGAGTCGTCAACGTTTACTGCTGTAGCCGTGGTGTTTTACTACGGCTACATGAACCAGAGTATGCATCACAGCAGTCTTATACGCTGCACTAGGTTGTGCGACGTCAGACCTTTTTCACGATGCGCTTGCATGCGCGTGCTAGCCGCGTTGAGCTCCATCAAATACGAAATCGAATACGGAATCGAATACGAAATCGGACACGGATACTGCGTTTGACTTCTCAAGCACATGCACCGCCGTCCCTAAGGTCGGACTTTTCGCTTACTAACAAGGCGACACGGATGCCGTTGCAATCGTCTTATGTACTGTGGCACCGTTGCGACTTGCAACTCGTTCGGATCCGAAATGTGCACCAGCTGGAAGTTCTGCATACCGCCAGTGAGTGCTCAACTTCTTCGATACTTCTTTGTTGTTTTCTACCATTCCTTCCTTCATTCATTCAATCCTTCCTTCCTTCAATCCTTCCTTCATTCATTGTTTCATTCATTTATACATGTGGTTCGCGATCCTGTATCGAAAACGTCTCGACAATGTGCACTCGTGCTCGGTCGATGCACATAAACAGTGTGCTGCTGCTGCTGCTGCGTCCGATGCGTCTCACGTGCTCAGCACGATCAAGAGACCAGCGAGCACATCTGCTTCGTATGGCTGAGCTCGTCAACGACGACGCTGGACGTCGCGACGAGTCAAACGTCTACCGCCCATCGCATTGCTACCTCCCAGTGCCGCACTTCCGAAGCCAGTAGGCGGACTACGAGAAAAACCGTTGTTGCCACCCTGCCCGAAGCTCGCCATCGCACCTTGTGCGGCAGTCCCGCCAAACGCGCTCCCGATTTGCGGACCAATACCCACTTGCTGCTGCCCGAAGCCATTTCGTGGACCAAAGCCCGCCCGCTGTCCGAAGTTGTTACCCACGCCATTTCCGTTGAAGCCGCCAGCTCCACCGAACATGCCGCCACCGAAACTAGCCATCCGATTGCTACCGCCAAAGCCGAAGCCGCGATTGTCCGTTGGATTCTCGCCAAGACTACCACCGCTTGCAGGCAGCCCGCGAGAAGTACCCAGTGCATTGGGACCAGCTCCAAACGCGTTGTTTGCTCTTCCAGCCGTTGGCCGAGACGACAAGTCCCCGATCACACCTGCGTCACGAGACGGAGTAGCGTCACCTGGTTGTTGTTGTCGTCCAGATGGAAGACCCGCACTGGCAGATCTCGTCGGTGCCGGCGTGGGTCTCGATGGACGGGTCACCGTTGCCGCAGCGGTTGCGGCTGGACGTCCATTTGCAGTCGTTGGGGCTGGCGTGACAGGCTCCGTTCCCGATGCCGCGGCAGTGCTTGAGATCCTCGACCCAACGGCGCCAGAAGCAGTAGCACCTGCAGCAACGTTGGTGGAGGAGTCAACGATAGTAGCAGTATCGGAGCTCGCCACCACCGTGGACGGCACGCTGATAGGAACGGGAATGAATCGCGGCACTCCCACAGGCACAGGGATGGCGATTTTCTTGACTTTCTTGACGTGGTGGTGATGGTGGTGGTGGCGGCGGCGCTCTTTCTTGCTCTCGTCGGTAGTTTCGTGCACGGTCGGTGTGTCACTCTCGACACGCAGTCCACGAAGCGCAGGCGCGTTCGGTACTTCCTCCGAACCAACAACGCACAGGCTCAGCGCTACGAAGGTCGCGAAAGCGGCAGCAGATTTCATGCGAGAAGCGGTGTCGATCGGGACGCTCGTGGTGCAAAGTGGCTCGCTGCTTGCGAATTGGAGAATAGCTTCGGAGGTTTGCACCATTGTGCGTCGGCGGCGACTTTGCACTGGCACTTGTCCATCACGACACTTCAGTCCGACAAGTGTTGAAGATGCCCGAAGCAGTGGTTCGTGGAGAGTGACAGCTTTTCGACATGATAGAGAAGCGCTGAAACGCGTGATACCATCACGTGACGTGTTTGATCGCTTCACGTGACGTGTTTGATCGCTTCACGTGATGTGTTTGATCGCTTCACGTGATGTGTTTGATCGCTTCACGTGATGTGTTTGATCGCTCCACGTGATGTCTTTGATCGCTTCTGACGTGTCGTGACGGACTGGTGCGACGGCTGCATGCATGGTCTATGTTCGTTTGTAGAAGTCGGGCTTACACTGCGTTGACTGCGTCCCTTATCGTTCGGGTTGCATCTTCAGCCGATC